ATCTGGTTCTCTCTATGTCACTTCAAATACTTTCTTTTCTGAGATTTCTGACTTAGGTTGCATGCTGGATGACATGGTTAACTCTGTTTCAACCTCTGAAAAGGTAAATTGTTAACATTTTCTGAATGTGTTTGTATGAATCTGTGAATTGTGTTTGACTTTGATTTTATTTTTCTGTGTTATGTCTGTTTTTTTAGGAAATGGGGTCCAATATGAAACAAAAATTTGAAAAATATTGGGGATATCCTGAAAAAATGAACTTCTTGATATTCTATGCCAATATTTTGGATCCTAGGGATAAGATTGAGTACATGCCTGCCCAATTTGCCCAATTATATGGTGATGATAAAGGAAAATCATGCTTTGAAAAGGTTCAATCTTCTATGGTTGTGTTGTTTAATGATTATACAGCCACCTACCATGTGCAGTCTGCATCCCCTACTGTGCAATCTATGCAATTTGAACCTGTCCATTCTCAAACTTCAGTTGGAAAACCTCAGGCTAGAATGAAAAGCCAGCTTAAAAAACAGAGAATAGAGACTGGTGGAAGCAGTAAAGAAACTGAACTCCAAATTTATCTAAGTGAAAAATTAGTGGAAGATGAAGAAAATGTGGACTTTGATGTCCTAAGATGGTGGAAGGTTAATAGTGATAGATTTCCTATACTCTCTAAAATGGCAAGGGATGTGCTGGCTGTTCCCATTTCAACTGTTGCCTCTGAGAGTGCATTCAGTACTAGTGGTAGGGTATTAGATGCCTTTAGGAGTTCCTTAACTCCTAAAATTGTTGAAGCCCTAGTCTGTGCACAAGATTGGTTGAGGGCACCCAATCATCCAATCTCTGCTGAGGAAAACTTGGATGATGTTGAAAGATTAGAGAAGGGTACTCTTTTTATTTTCTAACTTTCTAGGTTTCAACTTTATAAATTGTTAATTGTTACCTTTTCTAAACTCTTTTTTGTTTTTTCTTTTTGTGCAGAATTGTCCATTGGAGCTGCTGGTTCTTCACTAAATATGTTGGAACACTCCCAACAATTGTTGTAATACTTTTATAATTTATTAGTTTATATAACATTCCTTTCTGTTTAGTTTGATTGCTAAATGTGTGGACTCTTTGAGGCAACTCAGGTAAGATTCCAGAACTGCTAATTGCTAAGTGGCTTGGTAACTTTTTTATAAATGTTGCTGCCCTTACTCAGATAGATCTCTGGTATTATGCCTTCTCTGGAATTCTGGTATATCACTTCCCTTCCTCTCATAGTCTCCTTTCTGTTTAGTTTGTGTTTCTTATGGCTATGATGATGCTTCCACCATTTGTCTGAATTAAAAGGACTTTGGGTGTTTGGTATGTTGCTCTGAGACAAAACTCATGAAGTAATTTGCCCCCAACTCTAAAATGATATGAAAAAAAGCAATCTGAGCCTTTCTTATTATTATTATTATTTATTATCTTGAGTTTATATGTCATATGTAGACATGTAGTTCTCTTTGTCTTTATTGGCTTTAAAGCCTTTAATGGTTTTATAATTGAGCAGGAAGATGAGGAATGGATGAATGCTGATTGCTGAGCTGAGTACTTGAGTAGTTTAGTGTTGTAAAGTGTAAACCAGTAAATCAGTAATAGTTTAGATTTGAGAATTGTTGATTTTGTAAACTTCATTTTTGCTTTTTGAACACCAGTTGGACTTGGTCAGTTTGAACTTTTAACTTTTGTGAATTGTAATTGCAATTTGCAAATTGAAATATGTATCTAAATGCCTAAATAGCTTTGGTAATTTAGTTTTAAGTTATTAAGTTTCAACTTTCAACAGTTTTTTTTTTTTTTTTTTTTGGTATGTTGTATAATCCGAATTGAAACTGAAAACCGACCCCCACCCGACCCTATTCGAACAGGGGAAATCCGAAAGGATTTTGTACTTAATTCGAACGGATTGGGGTAGTTTTTCCCAATCCGAAATTCGGACGGGTGGACTATTCTATAAACCGAACCGTCCGAACCCGTCCGATGCACAGCCCTACACAGAAGAAGAATTGTTTTATCAAACAATATTTGGGCCGGGTCTTGGGCTGTAATTTTGCAAATAATTTGGGCCTGAAATAGAAAGCATATTAAACCAATTGGGCTGATGGATCTTTTACAAAAAAATATTTGTTCATTATTAAAATTATAATAATACATCTTTTATGAACTTGTTAAGTGTTGGTTCACTGTTATGCTCCTGAGAAATATTGATCACTCATTAGGATTGTGTAATAGTACAAAGCTTATTCTTACAAAGTTAGTTGATTATGTTTTGGAAGCTCAATGCAGGTTTTGGTTTCGCGAATGTCCAATAAGTCTTAAAGAAAGTAATTTCCTTTGATACTATCATATTCAATGACAATAAATAAAAGTCAAGGTCAAACACTATCGAATGTGGATTTATTAACGGCCGATTTTTTAATCATAATCAAATGTATGTAGCAGTGTCAAGAGTTAGGAATCCTAAGGAATTAAACATTTTTATTTGTGACGAAAATGTACAATCTGTAAACACGGCTACTAATGTCTTATACACAGAAGTATTCAATAATGTGTAATAAAATTTAAATGTTTTACTTCCCTAACATTATTATTGCTTATCGTCATTTTTTTTTATTATATTATACTGTATCATTCTATCATTCTATGTACTATATAGTATGATTAATTAGTTTGGATAAATGTACAAAAAAAGTAAGATAAAAAAATCATAAATTTAAACTGAGCAGTCATGTCAATAAGATAGTCTATTCTACATGCTTGGTATGGTGATTGAATTTACAGTTAAACATATTGCTATTTCCATATGTACTATGAACATTTCAATCCGAAATATAAAAAAAGCTAGATCACAAAAACAATAATAAATTAGTAAAATTAAATATTTGAATATCACATATTATCAACAAAAGTTTTAGATCAAGCTGCACTAACAAATGAAACAATATGATGGACTCAATTCAATTTTACAACTTATAATTAACTTTGTCAATGCTTTCTGTTTATTTATAATATTTTTGGGGAGTTATTTTTAATTACATTTAATTTATTGTTCTTTGTAGATAATTCCAACATAGTATCAGCTACCAGCTCTAGATCTCATATTATCCGTGTAAATACTTCAAGTAATAATAAGAGGCGTGTAATTGAACAATTTGATAGTGTTCTTCCTATGCCAAGTAGCACAATCAGTAATGGTACGAACACTCTATAAACTTTCTTTGTATTGGAAAATGAGGACGATCCCATTAGACAAATTATTGACAGCACATTTCCTGAATATCGTACTACACTGACAATCAACAAAAGTCAATGTCAAACGCTTTCACATGTTGGTTTGTTACTGAAAAAATCAGTTTTTAACCATGACCAATTATATGTAGCAGTTTCTAGGGTGAGTAATCCTGATGGTCTTAAAATCTTAATTTGTGGGGGAATCTAGAGGTCTTTTAAACAATATTCAAAATGTAGTTTATAAAGAAATCTTTAATAATGTGTAATTGTTATGTTTATAGAACGTCAATAAATTATATTTTATCTATTTATTACATCGAAATCCTTATTGGTCCTATATCTTCAATATAACAATCTTTTATATATTGCATCATAATATCATGGTCGTGCAACGCACGTGTATAACTACTAGTAATAATAATAATCTATCTATCTACTATACTAATAAGAGCCCAAGAGAGTTAGGCCTATAATGGGTAGAAAAAATGGCGGTCAAATTTTTTAATCAAATGAATGGCTCAGATTGATCAGATTTTAATTTTTCCTTGAGATTTCCTAATTTATCCTTAATGAATATGATTATCCGTTAACTTTTCCTTTAAATATTATCTTTTCTGTTAATTTCTGTTAGTTCACCGTTAACTTATTGATTTCTACTATACTAATAAGAGCCCAAGAGAGTTAGGCCTATAATGGGTAGAAAAAATGGCGGTCAAATTTTTAAATCAAATGAATGGCTCAGATTGATCAGATTTTAATTTTTCCTTGAGATTTCCTAATTTATCCTTAATGAATATGATTATCCGTTAACTTTTCCTTTAAATATTATCTTTTCTGTTAATTTCGGTTAGTTCACCGTTAACTTATTGATTTCAATAAGAAAGGTCTTAGATTCGAACCACATCCCAATCAAAGTGGCATAATTAGTACTCGATTTTACTCTTATTAAATTAAATAATAATTTAGTAGCTATAACAAAAAATAATACATATGCATTTCTGTAATTTAGAATTATGTGTCTATAATTCCTTTATTCTAAAAAAATTATTCATTATCAATAAATTAAACAAGAGAAATAATTTCAAAAAAAGAAATTTAACGAATTTGACCAGCGAATTATATCAACGGTTGATAAAAAGATATTTGAAAAAATTAGCTGTTTAGATTAACATGTAAAATGACTTAAGGGTATGCATATATTTAGTAATAATAATAATAATAATAATAATAATAATAATAATAATAATAATAATAATAATAATAATAATAATAATTGTTTTAAAAAAAATAAAAAATATAATTAAGTCAATCATATTAACTACTTGGGAGATTTATTGACAAAAAGAGTATTCAAATCACACAACAAATTGAAATGGGAAACAATCTCGCAATGTCATTGTTTGGCAATCAGCAATTAGCTATTCAATATTAGTATATATTTAATATTTTATGCCCTAATTTTTATTTGCTCTCCCTTATGTCCCGTATTTAGTTTTAACCATACCTATACAATTATTTTATTGACAATTATAATCAATATTGACTATATTATCTTGCATTTGTAAACTTAGAATTACCTATTTAAATATGAAAATTCAACATTTTATTATCTATGCATGAACAATTTTAATATAATATTATCTTGATATACTTTAAAGTAGTTATTTAAAAAAAAAAAAAAAAAAAAAAAAAAAAAAAAAAAAAAAACATTGAATATTATCTCAATCGCGCAATGTGCGTAAAAAACTAGTAATAATAATAAACACGGCCTTTAGGGTTGGGGTTCAACCATTGGACGAATAATAATAATAAAAAAGAACAAGTGCCACGTGTACAATGGCGCGTGGATACGTGCCCGTATCAGGTGTGTCCTGACATCCAACTCTTCTCGTTCCCTCCTTCGCAATCGCTGCTCAACTTTTCGGCGCTACGGCACTAATCGTCATCCAATTCCGAGCCTCATAACCGTCATCTAATCGGCCATCTTCTCTATTCATCGGACCTTGGTGGTATTATCACATGGCACGTGTGAGTTTCTTCTATTTTCCGAAAATTAGGGCTTTATAAATTTATTTAAATTTAAATATTTAAATGATAGTATTGTACAGATACAGATATTATAAATTTATTTAAATTTAAATATTTAAATGATAGTATTATCAGAATCTAGGGTGGAAAGGAAAGCAGAGAAAAAGGGAAGGGAAAAATGAGAAAATCTTCATTCTAAATACTCTTGTATTAGCTGTTTTTTTATAGTTCCTACATTTATGTATTTATTGTATATAAATACTCTTGTACTTGTACTCATCAGTTGAATACACAATCATTACTTCAGTTCCTTCAAAAATACCCATGGCAATGTAAGAGGCCAGAGCTATGGATGTTCTCTGACAAATATCACACCCCTGGACATAATTAGAAGTTTTCTGCTTCATATGTAGCCAGTAGAAAGATAACTTTGGCCCTTTTATAAGTCCCTAAATTCTAAGGTCACTGTACTATTAACCCAATCTCCTGGAATTCAACCTGTTTACATTGCCTGTTGGGGCTTAGTCCCTCAAACTTGACCCTTTTACCTTGATAGTTGGGTACTGCTGGTTGGAGCAGTTTCTAAGAGAAGTCCTGAATGCTTGTGAATCCAGTCCATTCCTAGGACCATGTCACATCCCCCAAGCTTCAGTAGGTAGACATCATGGCATCATGCTCAAACAAATTGCCTTGCATGTTCCATTGGAATTTAGGACAGGAAGTGTCACACCTAACTTTTTCGTCATTAACTATTGTCACTACTAAACCTGCTTCTTGCAGATGTTCTACTCTTTACTCTGAGCAAGTTGTGGGTTCAAGGAGTGAGTAATGCCACTGTCTATCAGTATAGAAAAAGTCTGTCTGCCCTAATCCTTGGAGTTTAATTTTATTAACCCTCCCCTACTGTAAACAGCATTAAAGGATACTTGTGTGGTTTCAGCTCTCCATTTTCTAAAACCACCAGTTTCTAATTCAAGTTATTCAACTCTTTCTTCTGTTCGTATTTCTTTCCCTGCACCTATGCCCTGGCTGCCATCTCTCCCTGCACGTAAAGCACAGTCCTTATTCCCTCAATCTGTTCAATTCCATTGTTCTGGGATTTCCAGGCCTATTAACCCCCACAGGTACTATTCTACCTCTGTGTTGGAACAATGCTTTGCAGATTTCCATTCATGGGAGGTTGTCCTAAAGTCCAAGCTGATACCCAATGTTTTAAAAATCAAATCAGCCTAGGCGGCAAACTTGTAATATACTGGAAATATTGAGCTAAGATATGCAGTGTCAAGTAAGAAATCAGTAGAAATGGAAGGAAAATTTGATCAGAAAGTAGGGAGGAAAGAATAGAAGAAGGGAAGGGAAAATCAGATAATCTATATTCAATTCTCAATAATCCTAAATCCTACATTGCAACAAACAAAATACAACTTAATAACAACAAAATAGTAAAACTCTCTGTACTTGCAATATAGCTGTGTGGCAACTGAAGCATTAATGGTCCTTTTTTACTTTGTTAAGATAGTGCCTACTAAATGCATTTTCTCTTCACAATGTATGAACTTTGAAGTATATTGACGATGGCTGTGTGGATGGAGTAGAGAAAGTTAAGATAATACCTGAAGAAGGCAGCTCAATAGGTATATTCTCCATAAACTACATATTGTGTATTAACAATCTTATCTTAAAACAAGAAATTAAAGCTTCTTTTTGTCTGTGTTTTTATGTGTCTCATTCTGTTCTAAGACTTTTGTTTATCAATATATTAATTTTAGTTTGAACACATGGTTTATACATGTGATCCTGAGACAATAACATATTCTGGTCACTTGTTATTATTCATGATGCAAACTTTCCCTATTTTTAATCCATGTCCTTATTTTCTAAAATGCTAATTGTACCTTTTCTATTTGGAGGTGTTCAAGAAATTGAGAAACCATTGCTTATTTGCAAGAAATGCCGTGGCAGTATCACAGAGAACAATGCAAAGATGGCTAGTTGCAAGTCATTCCCTTACCTTGTTCATACACATTGTGAATGTGGTAATGGCAACAAATGTCTACTGTGTGGGAATCCAGCTCATTTTGTTTCTGTGAAATTAAGTCATGTGCAAATGCCTACAGAAACGAAACAGAGCAAATTGAGGAAATTTCTCAAAAGTAAGTAATAATCCTTTTGCTTATTCTCTAAAATGCTTATTTATTTATTTTTATTTTTATTTTTTATTAAGGCTTAATTATTTTCGGAGTTTTTATTTAGTTCAATTTGTGGCTGATAGAACATACTAGGTTTACTTGTGATGTGGCAATTTTTAAAAGGACAATGTTGTGAGACTGTATGCTTTAAGGGCTTGTAACCAATAACAAAAAATATTTCAATACACACACTTTACTAGTGGGTTTTGAGTTTTCAATTCTTGATCACTTGTGCACCCAACTGTCTATTTTTCTAAATTTTTTTCAACCCTTTTGTTTGTCAAATTGTTATCCTAAAATAGTTCAAATGGTTTATTTGTACCTTTTCTCAATAAATTATTATTGTTTTCTTATTAAGATGTTAAAACATCTGCCATAGCCAGATGTGTCTCTGTTAGCAATGGTAATTTGAAGTTTTTAGTTAGACATTGTTAATGGGGTTGTATCCAGATTTTGAACAAAGATGCACAATATAGTTGTGCTTTTCTCTGATACATCATTATTCCTCTCCTGGATATGTGTTTACACTTGCTGGATGAAAGAATCTCATCTTTTCTTTTGCTTGTGTACTGTTATAATGCAGACTGCAGAGGCGGGTAGGTGAAGAAATACAATGGACGGCTGCGCTTGCATCAGTTAAGTTCTTAGAATATCTTGATAAAAACGAAAAACCGGCTCACTAAAAAACACAAAAAAAAAAAAAAAAAAAAAAAAAAAAAAAAAAAAAAAAAACTGCTCACTTATTTCATTTTTGCAAATCCCATCAACCTCTTTTTCGTGTTTAGATTGTGATACCATGACGTACATCATTGTCTAGTTATAGAGGTTGTAGATTTGTAATATCATATTACCATAATTTGGAATTGGGATTTGAATTGTAAATAGGCATTTTTGTAAGAGTTTTCTTTCTAGATTTTTATTTAGTTGAGTATCTAGGAGTTTGTCCCTATTCCGTCAATCCCCACTATATAACAAACTTTTTCAGGTTGCAATACAAATTTGTCAGGCCCTTAGTCCAAGGGGATGGATTCTTAAATGATCAGGGAAAGACTCTTAAACTTTTGTTGAACCATTCAATGTTTAAAGGTGCAATTACTCTAATCAACAATCCCTTTGGCGAATTTTCAAATAAAAAAGTGATTTTCAAATAAGTGTCTGGAGATCGATGAATACAGAAAAGGCGATTGAGAGGTGTGTTGCCTTCTTCTCCGTGATCAGAGATCATTTGCCGATTGTTGGTCACTTTTTTTGCTTAAAAATATGTCGGAGGGTGGGTGGGCGGATCCCTAATAATCTGTGATAGCAGGTCATTAACTAATTCTTGAATGTAATTATACATTTAAAATGTTAAGGTGCTAATTGATACTTTCCCCTTTATTAAACATTTCTACTGTGTACGGTGTACCCCTATTTCTTGGGAAGGTTGCACATCAGATGGCTGATATGTCAATCGGGTTCACTCAATATTAAGATAATACAAATTAAGAATTAAATAGTCGAGTTCTTGAATATCTGTCATGGTTTTTATTCAGGAAAACATAATATAAAATCATATAGGAATGATTCAGAATGATATATTTTATCAACTATTATATTACCTGGACTCATAATATGGGGCAAAGAAAAAGACTTACATGTTTTTTTCGTGCCATACTTCTCTCATTTCGTCCTCTCTATTTCCTGTGTTTGATCAACACTGAAGGTATACAGATTTTGGCTCTTTTATTGTTTTAAAAAAATTATTTTAGTGGCCATGATTTTTCGTTAGTTTTCCGTTTTATATTTTTTGTGGACAAATATGCAGCACGTGGCTTCAAGTTGTCTGGGTGGATCTCCGCGAAAAATTACGGAGTAATTAATTAATACGCTAGTCCATGTGGCAATATAAGAGCCTCAATTAAATATATTCCTGTGCCAGTGGGTCCAGTCCTTTAGTAGATAATTAAATAGTGTAAATACGACAATTTATATCCTACACCACGGCGTACATTGCACTATGCGCCCAGATGCAAAACGACGTCGTTCTAATTTTTTTTTTTTTTGAAATTTCCCGCCCCAGTGAATGGCAGTAGGCTTTTCTTTAAAAAAAAAACCCGATGTTCAAGAATGTACATAATGTTATACTTGAATACACATAATGTTATACATGAATACACATAATGTTATACATGAATACACATAATGTTATAACAAAATAGGAATAAGGGTCAAATAGGTCATCGAACTGCACACGAGAATGCAATTAGGTCACCGAACTTAAAAAACCTACAATTAGGTCCCTAAACTAACCAATTTCATTCAATTTGTCCATTTTACAGGTTTCTCAGGTTTCTAACAGGTTACTCCTCCACCTAGGATGCATATGTGGCATTTTAAAAAAATTATTTATTTTTAAATTAATTTTTTAATATTTAATAAATAAAAACTAAAATAATTTTATTTTTTTAAATAAAATATTTTGTTAATTTCTTTAAAATTCACAAATCACAAATACAAACTAATTATTTTTAAAATTCGAAAATCACCAAATCACGATAGTTTCTATTAAATAATTTGTTGATTTTTTTATTTGTTCCTGGCCAAAGCATATTACAAAGGGAAATAAAGCAGTAAAAGCAATATATTAGAAAGCAGTAATACTATTAGTAAATGTATCATATTATTAAACAAAACCATAACTATTAGTATTAACAGTAATATAATTTATTGTTTTTTAAAAAAGAAGCAGTATTAGTATTATTAGCAATAAAGAATAATCAGTAAAGAAATAAAAAAAATCAACAAATTATTTAATCAAAACTATCGTCATTGGTAATTTTTGAATTTTAAAATAATTAATTTGTATTGGTGATTTGCGAATTTTAACAAATTATTTTAGTTTTAACAAATTATTGTAACAAATTAACAAATTATTTTATTTAAAAAAAACAAATTATTTTAGTTTTTATTTATTAAATATTAAAAAACTAATTTAAAAATAAATAATTTTAAAAAAATGTCACATATGCATCCTAGGTGGATGGGTAATTAACCTTTTAGAAACTTAAGAAACCTGCAAAATTGACAAATTGAATGAAAATGGTTAGTTTAGGGACCTAATTGTAGGTTTTTTGGGTTCAGTGGCCTAATTGCATTCTCGTGTGCAGTTCGATGGCCTATTTGACCCTTATTCCTAACAAAATATACATACTCTTTTTAAAAGATAATACACATAATCTAACATAATACATAATAAACATAAACTTTTAACATAATACACATCAACTCTTAACATAATACACACAAATTTTCTGATTCGGATGTACATAATTGTATAAAAACAATGTACATAATTGTATAAAAAATACACATAACTGTATGAACCAATACGCATAACGTTGTGAACGAATACACATAACGTTGTGAACGAATACACATAATCTCAGCAACTTCCTACCGCGCCTCCCAACACAACCCCAAAACGACGTCGTTTTGGGAGGCGCGCGGCGCACAGTGCTATGTGCGCCGTGGTGTAGGATATAACGATTGGTGTAAATACTGCCACACGGTGTCAACTGTCAGGGGGCGTTTGGTTCAGGTTATATTACATAACCAAGGGAATGTGACATTCTTAAACTTACATTTTTATGTTTGGTTCATATTCTCTGAGGGAATATAACATTCCCAGGGAATATAACATTCCCTCCACATAAGATTTTGAAGGGAATGTGATTCCCTTGATTTTGTTAGGTAATGTAAGATAACTTTGATATTTATAAATTTTGTCATTTTAATTCTAATTATTTAAAGATATATATTTTATATTAGCTTATTATTATTATTATTATTATTATTATTATTATTATTATTATTATTATTATTATTATTATTATTATTATTATTATTATTATTATTATTATTATAACCCTAAACCAAACATGATTATATTATATACCTCAATTTTAATCAAATACAGTAATCTAACATTCCCAGTAACCTAACATTCCCATCAATCTAACATTCCCTAAGGTAATCTAACATTCCGTGAACCAAACGGCCCCTAAAGGTTCACCTCTTAATTTTTATTTTGTTTTTTTTTTTTTGTTTTTTAGGAAACAGGTTCACCTCATTTTGAGTTTACATAATTACATCTTTCATTATCCTTTTAAATTCTCAGTTGATTTACCTTTTCTAAAAAATATCGATTTTACTATATAGTGTGATGACACCTCTTGTTGCTAGAAAGAGAGAGGATATCAACCAATGTGTTTGTATTATTTTCTGTGTTCTTCTTCACTGATATACATAAGTATATATACTACTACAAACTCAGCTTTACAGCTATACTCCATGTTCACCTCACCAAACTCAGCTTTACAGCTATACTCCATGTTCACCTCACCAAACTCACAGCTTTACAGCTATATTTCTAACACTCCCTCTCAAGCTGAAGCATAGATATTAATCATGCCCAGCTTGTTACAAATATACTCAACCCTGTCCCTGCTAAGCCCTTTGGTGAACACATCAGCTAGTTGTTCGCCGCTACGAACATGAGCCATGGAAATGAGGCCTTGTTGAATCTTTTCACGCACAAAATGACAATCTACCTCAATATGCTTGGTACGCTCATGGAACACTGGACTGTTTGAAATGTGTATTGCTGCTTGATTATCACACCATAAACGTATGGGCTTCATCACTTCCACACCAACCTCCTTCAACAAATTGTGCACCCAAGTTATTTCACACGTCACATGAGACATCGCCCTATACTAAGATTCTGCACTGGACCGAGCCACAACAGTCTGTTTCTTGCTTTTCCAAGAAACCAAATTACCTCCTACGAACACACAATACCCTGTTGTAGACTTCCTGTCACTTAACGAACCTGCCCAATCAGCATCCGAAAATGCCTCAACTCTCGCATGTCCATGATTAGCATATAGAATGCCTTTACCTGGTGCATTCTTGAGATACTTCACAATTCGAACTGCTGCCTCCCAATGAGTTCGCATGGGTGCTTGCATGAACTGACTTACCACACTGACCGGAAAAGCAATATCAGGACGCGTAATGGTGAGATAATTCAACTTTCCCACCAACTTCCTATATCTTTCTGGAGAATCAAAAGCCTCCCCCTCACCAGCTACAAGTCTCACACCCTGCTCCATAGGGGTCTCACATGGTTTTGATCCCAACAACCCAGTATCATCAAGCAGATCTAGCAAATATTTCCTTTGGGAGAGAAATATTCATTTCCGAGAGCGAGCAACTTCAATCCCTAAAAAATACTTCAACACTCCCAAATCTTTCGTGTGAAACTTTTCTTTGAGGAAAGATTTAAGAGCCTCAATACCTACTGCATCATTACCTGTGATTACTATATCATCAACATACACAATCAAGAGAATGCATCCATCATTAGTATGCTTGAAAAAGACAGTATGATCACACTGACTCCTTTGCATACCAAACTCCATAATCACACTACTAAACCTCCCAAACCAAGCCCGTGGAGATTGCTTCAGGCCATATAGAGACTTTTTCAATTTACACACACTTCCAGACTCCCCCTGAGCAACAAACCCCGGAGGTTGCTCCATGTAGACTTCTTCAACCAAATCGCCATGCAAAAAGGCATTTTTGACATCCAGCTGATACAGAGGCCAATGGTTAGACGCAGCTAAGGAAATAAAGATACGAACTGAAGCTATCTTAGCTACCGGGGAGAATGTTTCTGTATAATCAACACCATAAGTTTGTGTATATCCCTTTGCTACTAGACGAGCTTTAAGTCTAGCCACAGACCCATCAGGGTTCATTTTCACAACATAAACCCACTTGCAACCAACTGCAATCTTACCGTCCGAGAGGGGTACCAAATCCCAAGTATGGTTGTCTTCAAGGGCAGTCATCTCCTCCTCCATTGCCTGTCTCCACCCAGCATGTGCTAAGGCCTGACTCAAAGTGTTTGGAATTGGAACAGACTCTAACTGGGACACAAAAGCACGTGAAGACGCCAATAAATTGGTATATGACATAAAGGACGGAACGGGATGAACACAACGACGCGTACCTTTCCGAACAGCGATAGGAACATCCTAGTCTGTCGACGAAGATTCTGGTAAGGGAGGATTTACTGGTGGAACCGGTGGGGCTGCATGTGTATCACCTTCTTTGGGCCGCCTGTGATAAACCTGCGTAACAGGAGGCCTAGAATCCACTCCTACGGAGTCAGAAATAGTAACAGTATATGTCAGAAAATTATCTGTCTCGAAACTACAACCAGACGAACTGGAGAACTCCTCTCTGAATAGAGTATTCTCGAAGAATGAGACATCTGCAGAAACCAAGTATCGCCCCAAATCCGGGGAGTAACACCGATACCCTTTTTGAGTACTTGAATATCCCAGGAAAATACATTTTAATGACTTAGGATCGAGTTTCCCTCTTTGAGGACGAACATCCTGGACAAAACACGTACACCCAAACACTTTAGGAGGGAGGCAGAACAATGGTTTGGATGGATGGACGAAATGATAAGGACTCTGACCCCCAAGGACCCTTGTAGGTAGGCGGTTTATTAAGAAACACGCTGTATGAACAGCATCTGCCCAGTAAACCCTAGGGACTTTCATTTGAAACAACAACGCCCTAGCAACCTCCAACAGATGGCGGTTCTTGCGTTCTGCCACACCATTCTATTGGGGAGTGCTGACACAAGACGACTGATGTACCATCCCATTCTGACTCATATAACTCGAGAAGGAACGGGAAAAATACTCAGTCCCATTATCACTCCGCAACACCTGTATTATTTTATTGAACTGAGTTTTGACCATTGCACAGAAATTACAAAAAATCCCAAACAACTCATCTCTAGATTTCATGAGGTATAGCCAAGTGTGTCTAGAGAAATCGTCTACAAAAGTTACAAAGTATTTAAACCCAGATTTTGATACTACTCGACATGGCCCCCATATATCTGAGTGAACCAACTGAAATAAAGACTCGACTCTATTATTGACTCTAGGAGGGTATGGCACCCGACAATGCTTAGCAAGCTCGCATGACTCACATTGCAAGCCAGATAGAGATTCTAATCCCGGACACAACTTCTTTAAGACAGACAAAGGCGGATGACCATACCGGGAATGCAACTGCAACGGGGACATATTTCCCAATAAACCAACCGAAACACCTCCAGAATCTTTGGACAGCCGCTCTAACACGTACAGCCCACCGACCTCCTTCCCTTTACCAATAATTGTCTTCGTCAACAGATCCTGAAACAGACAATATCCAGGGAAGAACATGACACAACAATTTAGGTCCCGGGTAATTTGACTAATTGACAATAAATTGAACGGGAATTTTGGGAGATATAACACAGAAGTGAGAGGTAACGACGAACTAACACTCACACTACCTTTACCTAAAACAGAGGTGGATGAACCATCTGCCAAGGTAATGGTAGGACCACATTTAAGGGAACAATATTCGGAAAACATACTTAGATTACCTGACATGTGGTCAATGGCTCCAGAATCAATGACCCACTGTCGAGACGAGGAGGAAACACAAGCGATAGGATTACCTGTTTGAACAAAGGTAGCTGACGGAGACAGCAATGACCTTGGATTAGTGGGAGATTGCGAGGAAGACAACTTTAACTGATTAAACAAAGCCATCTCTTCTTCATTTATCATAACCGTCCCTTCCGGTTTAGAAGCAGAATTAGCAAACCTCCTATGGTTGGAGAGTTGTGGGCATTGGTTACGTAGATGACCGGGATCACCACAATTATAGCAAGCCCTTTGCCCCCGACCTCCTCCGCGCCCTCTACCTCGTCCCCTGGACCGACCTCCTCGACTATCTGTCCCACTATCTCCCTGTGAGAAAAAGACTTGTTTCTCCAACGTACTATCAGTACCAAGATTCACTGACGCATTTTGAACCATAGAAAAAACTTGGTCGAGCGAGTCTAATTCCTTATTCCCCAATAATTGTGATTTTAAAACATCATACTCCTTATCCAGTCCAGAAATCCAACTAAAAACATGCAATTGATCACGTTATTTTTTCATTTTATCCACTTTATCAGTAATTGGCATAGCAGCACACAACGCCTCACTTACATTCTTGAAGTCATAATAGTAATCCCTGATGTCCCGCCCTTTTTGAGACGGTCGATGAACATCCTGGGATAACTGATATAACTTCCTTAAATTACTTGCCCCGCTAAACCACTGATTCACTAACTCCCACACTTCCTTCGCACTCTTACAGTGCTGTAAAGATAGGATTATCTTCCTATCAATACAATTTATTATACGCGAAAACAAGGCGTCATCATCTTTCTGCCACGCTTGGGCTTCGGTAAGGTCATCCGGACATATCTCAATTAAATGTCCAGCTTTACCCATACCCTTCAAATTTATTTCAACTAAAAACTTCCATTCCCCAAAATTGGACCCATCCGGTGCCAACACCACATCAACCAATTTAGATTGAGTTGACACCACAGTAATAGTCCTATTTTCTGCCATAATAAACACACAAAACCAACCTGGAGATGTAGACTTCAATTTTATGCCAAAACCCAGTCCACGCAGCACCCTGGCAGCACACCCGCACACAGAACCAGTTCTGGAAACACAGCCCACGCAGAACCCCTCAACACCGGACGGGGATATTGACACAGACGCGTCGGGCGGACTGAGACGAACCCAGCCGCGTCGGCGGCGACCGGAGCGACGTCGGAAAACACCGCACGTGCTGACGCGTGGTGTCGGAACTCCGGGAGTGCGGCGGCGCGTGGACCTTCCGATGAATGCTCCGATCCTCCCGGCGGCGGCGCCTCCTCCTTCCGACCAAAGCCCACCACCCACATCTACTGCTCTGATACCATGTTGCTAGAAAGAGAGAGGATATCAACCAATGTGTTTGTATTATTTTCTGTGTTCTTCTTCACTGATATACATAAGTATATATACTACTACAAACTCAGCTTTACAGCTATACTCCATGTTCACCTCACCAAACTCAGCTTTACAGCTATACTCCATGTTCACCTCACCAAACTCACAGCTTTACAGCTATATTTCTAACACCTCTGTTAACTTTCCAAATGAATGGTTACAAGTTTGAATCCTGTTGGTGGGGGTACAAGTTAATAATGGGGTACAAGTTAATAAAGATAATATCGATTTGAGATATTTCTTAGATTAACGTTTTGAGCATTACAAATTGTGTAATGATTGAACATGATTGTCCTAAACAAGACAAGGCTAATTATACAAGTCAATGCCCCTAACAAGCTTTTCAAAAAATGAGGCACCCCTTAAGACTAGGTCAAGGCTCAACCAACCCTACCTAGTCCTGTAGATAGACTTAGGAGACGGACCTTTAGGGTCCGCACCTTGTCGGGACCTTGTTCTCTGGTCTTTTTTGCTTAGTACCGTCAAAGCAAGCTGGTTTGCCTCACCATGTGCCTAATTTCTTGCGAGTTGGCTAGCAGGCTAGAGTTCATATGACCCTAGCTCGCCTCAAGCTGGTTAGCAATAAATCTTCTAAATTTCTATTTTTGTGCGAGTACAATTCCTCCTCTTACAGTATTAGTGGTCATAGAATTAGACATCTACATTTAACTTCCCAAAAGTGATCAATATCATTCTTCTGTGTTGTTTTAAAATAATTTGGTTCTTTTAAATAAGGTTTTTGGAGTAGTAGAGAGCTGACAATAGTCTGTCTTTATTGTCAGGAGTTCATATTGTTTGGAATCTAGACCTCAAGACTTGAGGTTGCATATAGTACAATGGCATCTAGTGCATTATTTGAATGTTTTGAAAATGTATTTTGGATGGTGAAACAATTGCTACAGCCTTATTAACATGTTTAGCTAATATTTTGACAAATGTATTTTTTATGGTGAAACAATTGCTACACCTTGATTTAAATGATTGACTAATGTTTGATTTCCATAAATTGTTAATTCTATTGTAGAATTTAATATTGTGGTGCTGAAATTTGTATAATTGTAACATGTCTAATTCATTTGATATTTGTAGAATTTTAAATTTTTTTTTTTGTTAGTAAATCTTACCGACCACCTAGTGGTCGGTAATTCAAATTTTTTAATTTTTTCTTTGTAAATCTTACCGGTCATCGG